TTTTCAATAAATGTAATTAGTTTATAATTGAATTATTAACTACAGTCTACTATAAAGTGCTTTACTTATGAAAATGACAAAAAAATTTCTACAAATTTTATAATTGTATCATATGCTTGTTACCGGATTCACTCTTAAAATATGCAATAAATTTCATAATTAAATCATTCACGTAAAATTATCTTACAGGAATAACACTAGAATAGTCTGTATGTCAGTTATGTTTTTAGGTGATTTTCAACTTAGAGTATTATTGACTACCTTTTACTATTCATGATTTCACTCCGTTAATGGCTCTTGCATAACAAATTAAATTTACAAACTTTTAACCATTGAATTTGTAATGGAAGTTTGTATATGTTTTTTATGGTAATGAAGTCACTGCCCCGGTAGCGATTTTCCAATCCAACGGCGTTTAACGACTCGCTCTCCTTTTTAGTATCTTCTTAAATAAAATAAAAAACTTGTTTCTTGATTTTTGTTTTAGTTCAGGTAACAAATTTTAAAAGAAACAAAAGCGTGCATTATAATTTTGACCAGCAGCAAATAATAGAAAAATCTCCAAAAAAAGAAAACTAGTCGTTAAAAGCAGCTGGATTGTAAATTAGGGCACCGGTATATTTTAAAAAATTTTGCTTTCATTCAACATTTTACTTTCAATTAAATGACTCTGCCAGTGTACAGCTTACTACTATCCCTTAATTTTTCCTTTGCCCATGTACTACTTTTTAAAAATGTACTTCCAACCATGTAGAAATAACTTGCTTTAGTAACATGCTTAGCTTGGATTCAGTAAGTATCGTCAACTAACATTTTTCTAGCTTTCGCATAGGACACATAGGTATTGTATTTGTACTAGTTAGTTTTTCTGAAACATTTTATTTTCTCTCCTATTTTGCTGCAAACGTAATTAATAACTATACGCATAATGTGACTATTTATTTTTCTAATGTGACTATCTATATTTATACTCTGTCTCCGATTGCAAATTAAATACTTTAGCAATAAGTATATATTCCCTCATTAATACTTATTACCTGAACGATTTTTTCTTCAATTTAATGTAATTAAAATGATAATTGAATCAAATTGATATTTAATCTTAAAACATTTTGACAGTTATCGCAGGCGATATGCTCTGAGGTAAGCATTTATAAAGTTTATGTATTTTATTGATTGAAGAATTAGAAATTCAAATGTAGAAGTGAGAAAATTTGATGTTTTTTTATGTTAATATCAACAACAAAAAATTTCTTATTTTGAAAGAAATTCAAATCATTTTTAAACTAATTTGTGAGTAAACAAGTATAATTGCAAATCAGTAGCTTTAGGTTTGCTCTACATTTCTTTTTATTTACAGGAAAATATATCATTTTTTCACGTTTACCGTTTTTCAATACTGTGCTATCAAGCATGTAGTTAATTTCCAAAATTGAAGTCCTAGTTTATAACTTATTTAAAAACATATGATTAAAATACAGATTTCGGAATGTACGGTTTTTTCAAAATACAGAATCTAACCACTATATATATTTATTCCTAAATTTAAAAAAATAGTTATTAAGTTGAGAAACTCATTTAATTTCAAATAGTAATTTATTTCATGGAGCTCTAAGATATGCAAATTGATTTCTTGACTTCTATGCAGTAAAAAATTTCAAACTTGCTCACCATAAACAAGTATTATCTCCATATAATCAAATCCACCATTGAGAAATAATACGTTCTGAAAATAAATTAATAATTATTTACTCGTGTATTAGAACTATATCAATTTTGAGACTACCGAAAATTATAATTCATTACTTGACTCTCTCTTAATAAACACTACAATTTGGAAATAAAATTCTTACATGGACAAATTAATGTACTGTTGACGAAACCATTTTATTTTTACTTTATTGACCACTTCAAAAATTAAATTAAATCATTGCTACGAATAATCTGCCTTTGCTTAAGATATTATTATTTTATTATGAACATAAAATGCATTTATCATTTTATACTATCGAATTTTGCTCAAACTAAAGATTTCTGAAGCTTACCATTTATGCCAGGAATTTTAGTAATAATCCCAAAGATTGGAGATCTAAATTAACGTTTATCTCTTAGCTACTTTTAGTCCAAGCTCAATTCATGTTGTGCATCCGTAGTCTCCGATCATTTATGTGCTCTTTGAATGGGCTCCTGAAAATCTTTTCTCTCTGAAGAGCAATAAAATGTCCATACAGCAGATAAAGCAATCTGAAAAATACACGACACATTATTTTTCTTTTCTCTCGTGGGAAATCAGGATGGACATCTAAGTCAAACTCAAGTGGCAAACATTATCGAATAAACAATTATCATTTACGTTGAAAGAAATTCTTATAACGTACTTCATATTTTATTCAAGGCACAACCTAATCGCCACTCTTAATATATATTTTTTAAGTTGTCTGTCAAAAATGAAGTAAAAATGTCGCAAATTTATATTTAGTAAAAGCAAAAAAAAGCTATCAAAATCAGACAAATAATTATTAAAAGAAAGTGGGATAAAAAAAACATCAAAACTAGTTTATCTAACTAGTTTATCTAACTAGTTTTAGTTTGGTAACAACTAGATGTTTGATTTCATCTTACATCTTTCGCCTCAAGGGCAATTTGATGTCAGATTTTAATATCGATTTATTTTTTCCTTGCTTGAATATTATTTTCGACCCCATCTTTGTACATTTTTTAATTTGGAACATATATTAAGGTTGGTGACTGTGGAAAATAATGTTCAAAATTAGCCCATAAAGTATTGTAAGAGATAATATTGCTTGCAAAATTCCATGTATAAACTCCCTTCACTGTAAAAATTTTGGTGAATAATTACCACCGTTTGTGGTATTAGGGTAAACTAAAAACATTTTAAGTGCACTGTTAATATGTTCATTTTAAAATTATGGTAAAATAACTGGCTGTCTGTCCATCTGATTAACAGTAAAGTTTACGGTAAAGAACATTTTTCTCCCTTATGGTTTTGAAACCACTTACAAAAAATATGGTTATAAAACCATGAATACAAAACTATACTGTTTTTGAGCCATTTAAAACTAGCGTTTTTCAAAAACGTAAAACAAAACTAATTATTTAACTAGACATAGGAGATAACTAGACATAGGTAATGGACATTGAAGAGTGCCGAACACTCGAAATTCTGCATATGTTGAAAGGTATGGAGAAAATATTGTGGTGTCAACACTAGGACTCGAACTCCAGTTCTGCCGGTCATGAGATTAACAGATTAGCCAGCTGGGCTATGACAAGTACACAGGTGCAAAGAACTAAGTAGCTTTATTAGATGGTTCTAGTTGGTGCGATAAAATTCTGGTTGTTTAACCGTATTAGGTGAAAGCAGTTAATGAACAGTTTTTCTCACAATTAACAGTTTGATTACCATTTTATTTATTATTATTTTACAGTTTTGATTAAGTATGGTAAAATAACCATTCAATAGTTGTTATTTAACCATTTTTCCGAGAAATTTCTAACTGTATACTGAACTGTAGTTATCCGGCAAACAATTATATAAAACTGATAAAATAACAATTATTTGAAATAATTAATGCAAATATCTTAGTAAACATTTGCTTGTTTTTTAAACGAAATGTTTTTGAAATGGAGATATAAAATTAATTACAGTGCGCATGAAAATATGGGTTGACAGTAACCAAAAATAAATAAAAGTACATTGCAAGAAAAACTATATAACAGTTATAACAAAATAAATAAAAAATGTGGCTACATGCACGGTAAAAGTTTACAACTACACCAAAAATAGTTACAAGAATACACCAATCAGTTTTGCAGTGTAGAGCCTTCAGTATGTGTTGTAACCGATTTAATCATGAAAAATATATACTAGTACAAATATTTATAACAGCTATAAGAAATTATATTACACATTCTTTCAAATGTTTTTATTACCCTGTACGAAAGTTTCAACTGTAGCTCACTTATTTTTATTTTTGTAAAACCAAGCAAAGGAAAAACTGTAATATTTAACATCGCTAATCATTCTAAAAATGAGGCGGTAACTCCAAAAGATGCAGGTTCTTTCTGCCTTTTAATTTATATTTTCGGGATCTTTTAATGAAATTAATTGGAGAAATAATAAGCATTTTAGGTCAACAAGTAATTATAAATGATGAAATAAAATGAAAAGTAATGAAATTCTGACGAAAGCGAAGTAAAAATTGGGGGAAAAAATTTCAAAGTAATCTGATAGTTGTTGTTGTTGTTAATTTACGTCGCACTAGAGCTGCACAATGGGCAATTGGCGACGGTCTGGAAAACATCCTGGAGAATGATCCGAAGACATTCCATCGCAATTTTGATCCTCTGCGGAGGGGAAGTAATCTGATAGAAGGTGGGTGACGATTATTAAAAATATCTTCAAGTTTTATATAGCAATCAAACTAGTTTTAGCACTTTATTTTTCTAATGTTCTTGATACTACCAACAGTTAAATTTCGATAAAGTTTTCCGTTTCACAATGGTAAAAAATTTTTTCACGTCTTCTAACTTGCATGTTTTGTAATTTATATTTTTAAAACTATTCAAAATCCATATAATAAAGGTAGAGATTAGGAAACTTGAATTTTTGAAATATTTTACATAGTGTGTGTTACGTGTTTGATAGCACAGTTACCAGTAGTAAAAGCACATTAAATTGTCTTAAACTAATAATGTGCATTATCAATTATAAAATATATTTCCAAAATACATACGATTTGGAATATATAGTAATAATTTTTCTATTTTTGCAAGTAATTCTAAGTTACATGAATTGTATTTTTCCTGATGAATGATTATTTCTATTTGCCTCCTCTTTGACTATATTTGATGATTTGCATTTTCCATGTGTTTTCTTTGACATTATTTTTTAACCTGTTTAATTCTTCTGATCTTATAGATATTGAATAATTTACAGTTTTTGAGTACCAGATTCTTTCGATTTTTCTTCTTCTTAGGTTTGTTTGGAATTATATGGTACCTGTTTTGGATATGGCTTATATTTGAAAAACCATGTATACATCCAACTATAACTCAAGCTGAACTCATCTACATAGAAAACGCCATTGGCCCGGTTGCTAAGACAATGCCTACAGTAAGGTTTAAACAAGTTTATTTTTTGTTGTTAATTTATTCAATTAATAATTTATTTTTTAAAAAATTTGTTTTTATTTGTTAAATTTTTCAATACGCATAAATTTATTTTTCAAGAATATTATATATTAGAAGCATTTTTTTATTATGAGTTAGTGCGCGTAGAACAATTTTGGAATGATAAAATACACTCTACATGCATTTTTAAATGGTAATGTAAACTTATTTATAACTAACAAAAAGCATTTAAAAATTTTTTTGAAGAAAAAAAAATTTCTTTAAAATTTTCTTTAATTTGCTTAGTATAAATACTATCCAGTATATAAATGACATATATATATTTAGTTAATTATAGTCATTCAAGTTATTATATAAATAATAAAATTGTTTATCGTATTGATATTATGATAATGTATTGACTTATTAATTGTACAATTTGTGATAATATAATTGTATCAATAAAATAAATTGAGTTAGATAGTTAACTAAAAATATTTTTTAAGAAAATAATATGAACTACTCTAAAAATTTCTTAAATAAAACTTTTTTAAACACGAACTTTCATAAATATTTAAAACGGTTTATTGAAAACTTATTATTTTAATTATAAGCATTTATTAAACAAATTAGAATACATTAAAATTAAGTATTTTTAAACAAAATATTTAGCTTCAAAATTAATTTTTTTTCTGAGAAAGAATTTTAAAACTATTTAAACTGTTATATTGAAACTAATTAGCTGGTTAACGGGTATTAACAGAAAGAAACTAAAATTAGTATTTCAAGAAATAAGTAAGAGAAATTACTTTAAAATGCCATATGTAAGATTATATTTTGCACAAAAATTTTTAAATTATTTAAAATAACTTGTAGAAATCTCATTGATTGAAGAGAAAACACAAATAAAATTCTATTAAAAGTCATTAAGCAATTAAGAACGCATTTTAAATATTACATTTGTAATAAAATAGCTTTAAGACAATTTTTAAAACTATAGAAAATCCATTTTTAACTTCTTAACTATCTAATTAACATTCATGTGTTCATAGAAAATTTTAAAAACAAGCATAATAGTTTCTACTACATCAAAACTGTTTTAATTTCTTATTGGTAAAGTTGTTTCAAGAAAAAACGTGACACACTTTCTTTACACACGTAAAACACTTTTTAAAATTTACCTAAACCTTATTTACTAAAAGACGGACATAAATTTTTAAAGGAATATATAGTATCATAAAATGAAATATAAAACATTACAGTCCTAATAAATCCTTCTTAAGTCTGACTTAAATATTTTTTTAATAATTTTAAAAGCAGTTTTTTGAAAGTGCATTAAAGGTAAAGCAAAGTATTAATGTAATTTTATTTACACATTTGAAAAATTATCTAGACTGGTGTTATTATGCACTAATAAATTCATACATTTATTTAAAAACAATTTTTCACAAAATTATTTCATGTGGAAAATTTTTCCAGAGATATTTCGAACATTAGCAACTCTGTAGAATAAATTAGTGTATTATGTCGCAAAAGTCGCTGATGTTTAAAGTACGTTTCTTTTATTTCCAGTTGAAAACTACTCCCTGGAAAGCGATGCTAACATCCATGCCGGTGTATGCAATAATTATAGCTAACTTTTGCCGGAGTTGGACATTTTACCTTTTAATTATAGCTCAACCAATGTTTTTCAAAGAGGTTCTTGATCTTCAAGTAAATGAGGTGAGCTTCCATTTATCAGAGTTTCATTTAATCATATTCGAATCTTCTTACATTTGTTTTCTGTTAAAAAAAATATTATTGAGCTGAGGATTTCTAACTAAAATTAAAAAACTATTGTTTCTTATATGTTTTGAAAATTTGTAAATTTCGTCAAAAAATTCTTCTTTTGATTATTTTTTTAATCATTGTTTCATAATTATAGTCATATAACATTTTTTCAGTGTATGTCCCAATATAATTACAAAATGAAATTTTGTATTAATAAGAATGGTTCATATGCTATTATTTATCGTTTAAAATGGCTAGGAACATTTTCAATTTTTCTAAAGATATCATGGCATGATAATTTTAAGCTTTGTTTAAAACATTTATTTTAATCCATGCCTAAAATAAAATATTATTAAATTAAATATTATTAAATAAAATATTATTAAATTAAAAATTATTGAATTAAAAATTATTAAATTAAATATTATTAAATTAAATATTATTAAATTAAATATTATTAAATTAAATATTATTGAATTTAAATTTTATGAAATTAAATATTGTTAAAATAAATATTTATGAAATATTATTAAATAAAATATTTTAATATATTATTGAAGTTGTCTTTTGTTTTGTGAAGAAGTTCTCACGTTTGAGAAACAGTGCTACACATTTATGATAAGATATATCTGAATTATTTGCTCATATATAGTGTCGTAAAGATCTACTTAATTTTTTTATTTTATAGGTATGTTAGATTGTATTGATTTTTTTAATATTATATATGTACTTGATCTACAGTTACGCTAGATTCTGATTAAGTGTTCCATAATGTCTAAAATAATTCCCAACGATTAGACAATTATAAAATCAGAATTTCATCATGGTTTTATAGAAATATATTTTTATGTGTTCATATTTGGTACTAAGCTATTTCAGACATACATACAGTTTCAAAAATGTTTCTAATATGTGTCTGAGTTATTGAAAAAATTATATCAGCAATGTAGAATAACATACGATCGATAGTTCAATTCATTGTATTTCATCAGCTAGTACTCAACATTCCAGTTGTCAATACATATACACTTTTATATTCTTAATTTTACTTTCTTGATTAAAACTGAGTTGCTGAAAAAATTGTATGAACGATGGGTAGAATAGCCTACTATCGATACTTCCTTTCATTGGATTTCATCTGCTCGTATTTAGCAACTAACTTTTCAATACATTTACACTTTTAGATTCTTAAATTTACGTTCTTGATATCAGTCCAAAATCAAAAGCCATCTATCCAAAAAGTGGAGTCCCCCCCCCCTCTCATAACTGGTATGCGGCCAAGGAAACGGGCTCTTCACTTGTTCATATAGCTGATAGAGCGTCTCAAACAGCAATTCCCAGATTGGCAATTGGACACACGAAATAGTCTCTCGTACTTCGAAGGAAGAAAGACTTATGCAGTCTGCTCCAAATGTGAAGCCCAGCAGGTCTGTGCCGAACATATCCTTGACTGCTTGAGCCTTTCCAATGAGGACTTATACGCTACTCCACTTCTTGTCATCGACTTTTGGAGAGTCAACAACCTATTGGATCTTGTCTGACTCCGTCAGACAATTGGAAGATAAGGAACAACAACAACGTTCTTGATTAAAACTAAGTTGTTGGAAAAATTATATGAACAATGAGCAGAATAGCCTACTATCGATATTTCAATTCATTAATGTCATTTTATTTTCTTGCATTCAACATGCTTTTTTAATAAATTTAGATACTTTATTTTACGTTTAAGTTATTGGAAAAAACTGTTGAGTGGTTAAAGCTAAAATTATATCTATTGTTTGTTTTTTTTAATTTTTATCAGTGGATAGAAAACGTTTGTTTTTTCTCTAGTCAGGTTTCTTGGGTGCCTTGCCACATTTGCTGATGACCATCGTTGTTCCAATAGGAGGTTACACAGCTGACTATTTAAGAAGACGAGAAATCATGACCACAACAACAGTCAGAAAACTCTTCAACTGTGGAGGTATGTTGAATTTAAGCAAACTTACAATGCGCTTAAGAAAACAAAGCAAAATCTAAAATTATACTAATGCCGCTAATAATTGGAAACATTTCTACGCGAGGAAACAATTCTGGAAAAATTACGGTACTGAATGGTAATAACATTTACAGTAAAAGAAACACAATTCTGTTGAATAAATATACGGTTTTTGAACTATTTATTTGATAAAGTTTCGTAAATATGATAACGGTTTACTGGTTTAACGGAAATCCTGGCTTTTAAAATTATAATAAATATTACTTCATATTTAGTTAAAAATTCCGAAATGAAAAGTAAATTTAATTGAGTAAATGACTTTTATGCAGGGCTCTAAGGTATCATGATAAAATTACCAAATTTTACCACATTTTCTAAATTTTATCACATATTTTAAAACAGTATTTTGTAATTAATTTACCAAACTCACTATCAAATCGCTATGATGAATATAGCTGAACTTTTTTTGGTGTTTCCATAGAGCCAGAAATCTGTCTGTCTTAACATATTTCAGTAGTTTTAACTATTTTTTTACTTTTTTTCTCAATATAATGACTTTGACAATGTTTTGCAATGAGATTCTCAAAAAAAAAATTTAATTTTATTCGGCTGAGCTGTGGAATACAATAACCAAATAAATGGTTTTTATGCAAGATTTTAAGTTATCATGAGGAAATTACCAAATTTTACCACATTTACCAAATTTTATCACACATTTTAAAACTATATTTCATAATTAATTTACAAAAGTCATAACAAAATCCATACGGTAAAAATTGCTGACCTCTTTGGTATTTCCATAGAGCCAGAATTACGGTAAATTTTAACATATTCTGGTAATTTCAACCATACTTTTTTCCCAATGTTTCATAATGTAATGACTTTGACAACGTGAAATCATACTCTGAAGAATAAAACTCAACGTATTCGGCAGTTCTTATGTTATCAATCGAAATTTTTCACATTCCTTTCCTCACGAGATCCCGCAATTTTTGACGTAATTTTGACTCTCAAATATTTGACGAAACCGTTTCCTAACTTGAATGCCTGTTCAATGTATTCTGGAATTTTAGTTTGAAGCCTATTAGGTTGCATACATTGGTAACAATGATAAATAATATTTCCACTTCATGCCCTTTTCACCACGAAAAAAAAGACATTCCTACTCTGAGAAAGAGAAGTATGGTCAAAACTTCAAGAATAAGGTAAAATTTACCGTATTTCTGGCTCTATGTAAACACCAAAAATATTGGTAATTTTTAATGAAAAGCTTTGGTAATGATTTTGATAAAAATTAGCAATAATATATGGTTTTATAATATGTGATAAAATTTGGTAAATGTAGTAAAATTTGGCAATATTATCATGATATCTTTAGAGCGTGTCATTTAAACCATTTATTAGGTTAAATTTAATTTTCAGTTTTGTATTTTTTTAATAAATGTGTGGTAATAAAAACCTGAATTTACCGTTACTATATGAATAGAAAAATTACCAATTGATAGGTTCAAATACCGTATACTTAGGTTTTATTAGCCAGAATAAATATTTTTCTAATCGAAATATCGTTACCATTAAATACGGTAATTTTAGTAGAATTTTTCTCTTATGTGACTCTTGTAAATTATATTCAAAAAAATGTGTCAAAAGGCATTTTGTTTCATAAAAAAAACATTAGTTAAAAAACGTTTTGCTACATTAACAGTATGAAAATTTATAAATTATTTTTAAATGATTTATCACCAGGAAATATCACAGCAAGAAATATTTTGCTACATTAACAGTATGAATAGTTTCAAGTATGAAAATGTATGAATTATTTTTAAATGATTTAATACCGGAAAATATAATAGCAAAAAACGTTTTGCTACATTAACAATATGAATAGTTTCAAGTATGAAAATTTATGAATTATTTTTAAATGATTTAGCGCCAGAAAATATAACAGCAAAAATATTTTGCTACATTAACAATCTGAATAGTTTCAAGTATGAAAATTCATGAATTATTTTTAAATGATTCAACACCAGAAAATATAAAATTTTGGTATTTTCTAGTAATCAACTGCAATGTAAATAAATAGTTTATTTTTATCGTTTTGTAACGTTTTGCTGAGTTTATGCAGTGTAATTAAAGAAAGCAGTATTTGATAAACGATATATATCTGATTTTTATAAATATATCTCTTTAACAGGTTTTGGAATGGAAGCAATATTTCTCATGGTAGTTGCTTTTTCACGCAATCATGCAGCAATAGTAATTAGTTTAACAATGGCTGTAGGTTTTAGTGGTTTTGCGATATCAGGTAAATTTATTTATTTTTATTTAGTCTTGTTCTTGGTTTTCCGTAATCACCGTTAAGAACATACATTTTTAGAACATGGCAAAATTGAAATCATTGAAATTTGAAAGTACAAAATGGGTACAAGCTCCTTATAAAAATCAGACGTAGATGAAACTGAAAGGAAACAAAAATAAAAAAAAGATTTGAAAATAAAATATTAGGGACACTATTTAATTTTACCTTTTATAGATTTATTTAATTTTGACAGTAATAAATTAATAGTATTAAATATAAGTGTAAGGGAACATCTGTAGCGTAAAAGTAATTATTCGTGATGAAGATGGCTATTCTTATCTTAGATATTTCTCATAATTTGACTGTTCCTAAAAGCTTCTATTTTACATAAATTCTAAACATGTATAGCATTAAATATAATGGTAATGGAGCATTTGTGGTGTAAAAATCATAATTCGTGATTAATGCTATTTCTTACCTTAGATATTTCTCATAATTTGTCTGTATCAAATGACTTCTTTTTTAGATAAATTCTAAATTTGCATAGTATTAAATATAATGGGAAAGGAATATCTAATAAATAGTGATAAGGATTGCTATTTCTTAACTTATATATTTCTCATAACTTGACTGTACCTAAAAGCTTCTTTTTTACATAAATTTTAAACATGTATAGTATTAAATATAATGATAATTGAACATCTGTAGCGTAAAAGTAATAATTCGTGATAACGATTGCTATTTCCTACATTACATATTTCTCATAAAATGACCATACCTAAAAGTTTCCTTTTTAGATGAATTTTAGACATGCATAGTATCAAATATAATGGTAACGGAACGTCTGTAGCATAAAAGTAATAAAAGTCTCAATGGCGACGATTTTTTATGTTTCTCCTAAACGAATTGGTACAACTTTCCCATTAAGTTTGCTTTTGAATACATAAATATTATTTTTTTCCATTTCATTACCATTGGTTTCAAATAAGTAATTTTTTAGAAACACGTTTAAAAGAATTAATATAAGTAAAATAAAAGCGTGTGGTATCAGACAAAGTATAAATTTGGAGTCGTAGACCACGCGTGCTACCACGTAGTGTTCATTGAATTTAACTAGCACAGCGAATATAAAGTAATTGAATATTTGAATACGTGAAATAAACTATTTTTTGAGAAAATAGAGCTACAAGCTAGCAATTATCACTGATGTTATCCATAAAATATGTAAAAAATTAAATCGTTAAATATAAAACAATGACAAGCGTTTAACCATTAAGAGAATTTCATTGATCGAACGGTTTATCATAGAATATTCTAATGTCGACAGTGACCTTCCTCGTGCTTTGAACTGTCTGTATGCTAAATTTCATAGCTTCTTATTTTTACTTTTTTGTTCAGAAGTTACTTTTTTATTTCAATTAATATATGTTACCAACATTAATTAAGCATCATTGTCGTCAATGATAGTATGACGATTTCTTACCGTTCTTCTAGACAAATATATACCTTTACTCCATTACTTTTGCTTTCTAGTGCAACGCTTATTTCTTTTATTTCAATGTACATATATTAATTATACTATAGTTAATTAAGCATAATTTGCGTAATTAAGCCTCACTGGCATCGATTTTTTATGTTTCTCCTAAATGAATTAATACCATTTTCCCATTAAGTTTTCTTTTGAATACATAATTTTTTTTCCATTCCATTACCGTTAGTTTTAAAAAAGTAATTTTTTAGAAACACGTTTAAAAGAATTAATATAAATAAAATAAAAGAGCGTGGTATCAGACAAAGTATAAATTTGGCGACGTAGACCACGTGTGCTACCACGTAATGTTCATTGAATCTATCTGACATAGCGAATATAAAATTATTAAATATTTAAATACATGCAATAAACTATTTTTTGATCAAACAGAGCTATAAGCTAGCAATTATTGCTGGTGTTCTTTTAAAAATCAGTGAAAAGTTGGATAGTTAAATTTAAAGCAATTGCTAACGCTTAATCAATCAGAAAATTCTATTTCGTTTTTTGCTCATCCCGATGGAACGATTTGTCGTAGAATGTTCTTATGCCAACAGTGACCTTCCTCGTGCTTTGAACTATATTTATGCAAAATTGCATAGCTTTCGGTCGGATGGTCTAGGAATCTATAAAAGCCTCATACACACATACATCCACAGACATTCATTTTTATATATATGGAAGGTCTCTATATATGGAAGATTTAGTGAAAAAAATTTATTTAATTTTTTTTTCATAATTATTTGAAAACATCTCAGTTTCATTATAAATAATTTTTGACATCACAGCAAGCTTTATCCTCAAATTTAAAAAATTCAAACATTTGGTATAAATATTTTGAATTTTTACGCTTTTAAATGCGTTTAAATTTGTGTTTATAAAATTGATACTCTGTAGTATTTCATAATTAAATATTAAATGCTAAAATTTTTACCGCTTGAATAAATAAGATAACTGATCAATAGTATAGTCTTAAGGGAACAAGTGAGATTATTCATTAGCTGTCTTCAAAAGTAATAAAAAATTATATTACAAAGAATGTTTCGTAATTACCATTCTCAATATACATTTTTGTTATTTTTGTAAAATGCGAAGCTTAAAAGAAGTCTAACTAGTTTTTTCAAATCAATATTTTAATAAAATAACAAAATCAATCAATGTCTGACGAACTGTAATTAAGATAAATCAGAGTAAATGCGATATTAAAATAATGAAGAACCAATTTTTCGAGGACGAAGCAAAAAACCAGTATTTGACACAAAAAAATGCTAGGTATTAGTATTACCTAGCTAATTGACCTCTTTTGTGGTTTTAGTTCTTATTCAGATTGAAGTTGATATTTGTTGAAGTTGTTTTTGAGTAAAATATTATGTTTTGGCTCTGAAAGTTGATATATATATATCAAGCTTCATTTTTCATATTGATTTTAAATGTATATATTAAGAACGGTGATTACAGAATAACTTGTAAATCATACAATACATTTTTTTTCTGTACAACTGCTAATTTTTTTTTATTTGAAACATTTTCAAAAGGGTTTTTTCTTTTCTAGGATTTAATGTAAACCATCTTGACATTGCTCCTCGATATGCCAGCATTTTAATGGGAATGTCAAATGGATTTGGAACATTAGCTGGCATGTTCTGTCCAATTGTTGAAGAAAGTCTAACAAGTCTAGGAGTAAGTACACAGTGTTTACTCCGTGTTTATATCATGTATTTTTGTAATTATTATTGAAATTAAAGCCGCTAAGAGAGAGACAAAATAAATAAATTGTTAAAAGAATCTCAGATGAAAGATGAAATAAATTAAAATAATATTTAAGCTTATAAAACTTAATCTATGTTCATTTAAGCTGATTAATGAGAATTCTTTCAATACAAGCATTAATTAATCTAATGAATAGAAACTTATAAGACAGACGTTTGGTTCTAAACGACAAAAGAAGTATGTCTGGTAATTTTAATTGCATCTCAGTAACTAATCTCTGCAAATTCTTATCGTCTTTTGGAAAATTTCCTTTTTAATCATTTTTAAAGAAGAGAAAAAAAAATGAAAATGCCATCAAAATTCAGCGATCTTTAGTTATTTACAATCTTTCATGATCTCAATCAATTTTTTTAAAAAATCCGTTTTAGACGGGATTTTAAAGATACTAAAGTCTATATTTTAATTATTACTCTTTGTGAACTGATTAAATTTTTCATGCGAAAGCATTTAAAGTGTAATAAAAAGTATATTTGCAACGTTAACTGTAGAATAAAATATGAAAGAAGTTGGCAAATCATATCCTACAGAATTGAAATCGAAAATTGTATCTTAACCGCAAATTGCCGTATGTTTTGCACCAAACCGTTTTCTTCATCAATTGGGAATTTTCTTATGCTGCGAGTTTACATCTGAATCATAAAATAAGGTAAGCAATTCAAATAAAAATAACTGTAATTTATTTTACTAGGAGGCTCCGCCCCCTGCTCGCTAACGCTCGCCAACCCCCGAGAATTTCTACGCAATCCCATGTGGTTCACGCCGTGAACCATGGCTCGCTGTGCTCGCTCGCCAATGAACACAATGTTCTAGCACAAAGACATAATATATTATCATCAAAGACATAGTATTTTATCATCAAAGACATAGTATTGTACTTATGTAGAAGAATTCTACCAATGTTCTTATTGGCTTTTAAAAAAGTATATTAGCTATTTAGATTGTACATGGTGAAAAAATCAAAACATTAGCTAAATAAGAAACATATTAGCAAAATAAATTATCAAATATTGCTTCACTAATATTCTGCATTTTAAAGCGTGAAAATTCAATGCATAAATAAACGCGAAATATAAAAAAATTCAATGCATTCAATACAAACACTTAAACGTTTTTTAGACGTTTAGGTAGCTCCCAGTAGAAAAATATCAATTCAACAGCGGCCTTTTAAAGCATTCTCACTTCAATTAATTAATTAATTCCTAATTGAGTTTAAATTAAATATTGTCATGTTTTTAGTGCATGAATCTGAATTGAACAACCTGATAATGCTCACTCTGGTTATTGTTTCCGTTTTTAAAAGCGCTATATGTTGAGCCACCTCATGTGACATTTGCCATGTGACATTTTTAGCAGCAATCATTGGACGATTTTCCAACGTTGCCATTCGGGGAGTTGTAATGAGGCTTTTTTTTTTGGTGCCGTGTAAGAGAAATATATATATAGATTTGAATTCACTTTAAAATATTTAAGTGAATTGAACCACAATATGGTGCAATTTGTTATTGTCTGAATATAGAATAAGTAAAATCAGTAACTACAGTAAAATAAGAAACTAAGTAAAATCAGTGATGTTAAAATTAATCCATCTAAAACTTGATTATGCGGTGCTATGGTTCAACTTTAAGAAAAACTTGGTTCAAATTTTGACCTTACTTAGTTGCTTCAAATTTGTATGAGATTATGGTTCAAAATGCTAACATTATGATTCAATGTTGAACAAATTTTCTTATGGAATAAGTGAATCTGAATTTTAATACATCCTTTTTTTTTCAAAATAATATAATCTATTTACTTTATGTAAAATAATAATCTCACTGTTAAAATTTTTGTATCATGTTATACCCCAATATCGTTTGAGTTCGATGTGACCTAAATATTATACCAAGCTGAGCCACATTATATTACAAATTAATTTCTTTGAAACTTGATTGAATGGTAACATGGTTTAACGAGACGAGAACAATGGTTCAACGAGTATTATGGTCCAACAAGACTCCTACCCAATACATTATTAAAGTTGCAATAAATTCACTTGGTATGATAGTTCAAGTTACCGAGGTCATTTTCAAAATTCATTTTCATTTGGAAATTGAAAAAGAAGGGGGAAATGTTACTTGAGAACATGTCATTCTTAAAAATTTTAATATAATTAGTTCAAGTTACCGAGGTCATTTTCAAAATTTATTTTCATTTGGAAATTGAAAAAGAAGGGGAAAATGTTACTTGAGAACATGTCATTCTTAAAAATTTTAATATAATTAGTTCAAGTTACCGAGGTCATTTTCAAAATTCATTTTCATTTGGAAATTGTAAAAGAAGGGGAAAAAGTTACTTGAGAACATGTCATTCTTAAAAACTTTAATATAATTAGTTCAAGTTACCGAGGTCATTTTCAAAACTCATTTCATTTGGAAATTGAAAAAGAAAGGGAAAATGTTACTTGAAAACATGTCATTCTTAAAAATTTTAATATAATTCATTATTACGTACGCACACTCTATCTATACTTTTTAATATACTTTCCTACTATCCTTTTTACAATTGCTACAATTTTGGCCAAATATGATGGAAATTGTCGTGTATATCACCAAATTTACGATTATTTTTTTCATATTCTAAACACATATACTACACATATGACTAATTTTGTTAGTAGTATGCAAATTTAAATTTTTTAAAGAAAGCTTTGCAAATAATGTCAAGTCTAAACATGGCATTTTAATGAAAAAAAAATTATCATGAACTCTAAGCGATAAAAAAATAATTCTAAAGCGTATTGAAATTATTCAATTTAAAATAAAAATCTGGAACGCTAAGTTATCCAGCTGAATAAATAAGTAATTACTTCTATGCAGTTAATCATGATGACGGTGAAATAATAAAAAATCTCTTGCAACTTAGAAGCTTCTGCTTCATCCACCAAACGTAGAATATTTAAAATAACTACATATATTTATTTTTCAAACATTCCTCGGTGATAAATGGGTGTTGCCACATAGAACTTCGAATTTTGTAATTAAAAAAGTGAAAAAAAGAGAATTTCGACAGAAAAGGCATTGAATTTAGTTATGAATATTTTCTATTTTTTTTAATGTAATTTGAAGTATTTATCACAAATATAAAATATGACACAGTAGGATTTTTTGTTTTTGAAATATTATTCGAAAAAAAAAAGTTTAAATTTTATGTCAATTCCATTTCAACTAATTTTTGAAACAAAAAATTTTCTTAAATAATATTTCATGAAACTGTTGAATGGTGCACATTTTATAGGAAAAAATTTTTTTATTATCTCTAAAATCTTCAAAAAAAAGCATAGTTTTTAGACGAACATCGAGTGGCTCCGAATTAGGCAAATGACCCACTGATATTAAAATTCAACTTTGAACTAATTTGGTGTTAACCCTTTGTAACTCAACAACTCTGATTTAAGAAATATTTACGCGGATGTTAGAATACATCATATTGAGCGTGTAAAAAATAATGAGAAAATTAAGACCTTAAAATTAAAAATTTTTTGATAAAAAGCATTTGTTGAACATCTCTAATATCGTGAAAAATAGCACAAAAATTCCAATATATTTAAAACTTCATGTGAAAAATTTTGAAATTATTGTTTTTATGGTAACAAGGTCTCACACCACATTTTTCAATCCTCCTTAGCCAAATATACAATCAAGGGGATTGTAGTAAAAAAATTGTATATCCTGCAATTATATCGTGGAACAATTCTTGCTAAACGCATTATAATATTGGCAGCTGCTGACTTGGTTCCCCCGAGTTTGCAATATTTTCTTTACTTGAATTTAGTTCGATTTTATAAGTAAATCTACCTCATTATAGGGATTGAATTTTCATGTATGTTGCAGATATGTAACGCGGTGATACAAAGGGTTAAATAATAATAGTAAACGAAAAACTCATTTTTTGTCTTTGCATCTTGTATGTTCTTACCGTANTTCTTTACTCGAATTTAGTTCGATTTTATAAGTAAATCCACCTCATTATAGGGATTGAATTTTCATGTATGTTGCGCTGTAACGCGGTGATACAAAGGGTTAAATAATAATAGTAAACGAAAAACTCATTTTTTGTCTTTGCATCTTGTATGTTCTTACCGTAGACAAACTATACCAAGCATGCCAGGATACTAAATACCGTCGCATGCGTGGATTCCGCTTTCTTCTGACAACCCAAATGAAATATCTGCTCCTGCACTTCAGAGCCCAAGGTCAGGATGATCACTGAGATGCACATAGTAGGCCTTAGCTCTCCAAGAACTGTCTCGACGCTGAGTTTAGTTTAGTTTAGTTTAGTTTAGTTTAGTTTAGTTTAGTTTAGTTTAGTTTAGTCAATGGTATGATTAATCTTTCTTTAAAATCTTTGAGGTATTTGAGATCACCCTGTTATTCTATACAATGTTCAACTGTAAACATTTTACTACTTTTTTGCAGACAGCAGATGAATGGCAAAGGGTTTTCATCATCGCCAGTTTAATTCACTTTGGTGGCGTGATATTCTATGGTCTCTTTGCCTCAGGGGAGAAACAATATTGGGCTGAACCCCCAGACGAAAGCAACCCAGATCAAGGTACCTCTTGGAACCCACTGGCAGATGCATTCACGACAGTCACATCACCTTCTGACAAGCAACCTAATGGCACTGTTACGACGTCTTTTAGTGACATCAAACCTCCATCCTACGGAGCAACCAACGTTGTTGGAACTCGAGAAGAATTTGCACAACCTGCATCGAGAGACTCATATATGCATGGACCGCGAGATCTATATTAGACTAATTTAAATTTTTCAAAATTACAAGTTTATGGGCGATATCAGACTGTTTTTCTCTTCCTTCGATGTAATAAGGAGAGTTTTGTTTTCGTGTCTTTGAGTTTACAGCCAAAAACTGTTTTGAATGTTTACTACCGGAGATGGATATGTTTCTTTTGGCTACTTTCTTATTAAACTGAAAAAGCGGGGGCGCTCTTGATGATTTGAGTGAGGAAAATGCTGTTTTTTACTACTCTTTTGTGGCTGTTAATTGAAATGATTACTGGTCAAGCAAAGGTTCTTTTTCAGGCAAATAGCAGACTTATGCTCATGACGTTTTACATTAATTCATATGTTTTATGATTTTAAACTAATTTATTTTTAAACTAAAATCATTATTTTCACGTCGTTTTTAAGTGTGATCAAACTGTCTCTGTGATAAGTTAAGATCTTATAATGAAGCTGCTGAGCAACCTAATATTAAGTGAGAGTTCTATGCCTATCTATGAAACAGAATCTTAAACATTATGGAGTTCGGTTTTGTTTACTCAGCTTAAATTGCTAATAAAGCGATCTAAAGTGTCAAAGAATAGATAGACATTGGTAAAACGGAAAACAAATAACTTTAGTGTGGCGCACAACGCATTGTGATTGAGGACTTAGAATGAAAGGGAAGTTTTTATGTATATGTATTATTAAATGATTTTTCATTTAATAAACCAGAAGTTCAAAAAATAAGTGACAATTTGAAAAATTAATTTTTTAAAAAAGGCATTTGATGATACAAGTACTTGGTTTGCTACTTTCTGTTTAAGAAACCAGTTATATTTTTACCCCAAATTGCAACATTATTCACAAATTTTGTCAGCAGATGGCGCTACTGGCAAAAAACTATTTAACATTTTTTTTTTCAAAAGAACTTTCAACCTTTTACCACCATTTGAAGCATTAATATGGCGAAGTCAGTGGAAAAAATTAACGAAGAGGCTTACAAATATTTTAATTGGTAAAAATTTAACTTCAGAAAACATTCCCTTTTAGTTAGCTCAGATTTATATGCGTTATCTGTTGACATAATTTATGATTAATATTAGAACTTTGTTAGTATAAATACCACATTTCCTGACCAGAACACAAATACTGTACACATCTATCTTCTTTGTTTTTCTTTCATATATTTTTCAAATCGTCGCTTAATTTTGGATACCTGTAACACTTTTTATAACTTGCATTGCTCAGTGTGATTTGTGCTGAATTTTCATTTTAAGACACTATTTTCATTATTTAGTTAGAAAAAGAAACAAGAAATCAAATATTTATTATTTTTAAATCATTGCATTTTATTTAATTGCATGTATTAAAATAGCTGTCACTGCACCTTTTAATAACTCAGTAAAATTTTAGTTAAAAAAATTTCTGCAATCCATTTTCTTCCAGACAAAATAAGGGAACCTCTTTTATTTTAAAATATATCAAAATTATTGAAGTTATCATACTCAAATAAATGATTTCTAAGTTTATTAAAATTATTTTTAGCTATATTGGATCTAACAAAACTAGAGCAAATTTTTGAATAAAACGCTCTTGCTTACTTGTATACAACGAATTAAACTTCTTTGAAATATTTTAAGAAAAACACTGAATATTGTTATTATCTTAAATATTTATTGTTGTGACTTTTGCAATTTAATCACAGTGTGAAGTAGTCCGCCAACCTTTTGTAACAAAGATAACCCAGATTTTGAATCGTATATAATAAAAAAAACTTAATGACACTTAAATAATCACGTAAGTGACCCTACCAGTGATTTAAACAAAACACTTAACGCATGTCTATCTTATTCCAACTAGTATGTATATCCTTCAAAAAATATATTTTTAAATATAATAGAATGAAAAAAAATCTAAAATATGATTTCATTAAAGCTCTTTATGCAAGACTTCAACCAGTAATAAAACTTTTTAATGCTAAAAGCAGCAAGTATTTTTCAAACTAAAGAAAAATAAATATAACCACGTTTAAATACGTATGACGATATATGCTTAAGACGTTTTAGCTGTAATACAAAATGGTGAATGCATACAGAATGAAACGGATAGAAGGTAATGATAATGCCATCTATCGGTGTTCATAGAAACTACTTGCTGTACAAAATTTTCTGGAACTTTCGTGATGATTAATTTCATTTTCAGAAAGTTGATTAATTGTCAATGACTTGTTCAGTTTAGGTGATGTGCATATGATCCAAGAAATTAAAACGCTGTTTAAACTCAATTTCAAAGAATAATTTTGTTTTTAATAAAATAACTTAATAATTCGTTTTTTAATTCAAACTTTTTCTTGTTTAAAAATACAAGTTTATATATAAGTAATTGTTGTGCCAACATCACCTACATTATTTGAAATTATCTTAAATTTGAGTACATTGTGCTATTTACTTTTAATTGGTTTAATATTTATTAAATTCTTTTTAATTGCTTAAAATACCAAAGAAAAATCTGTGACACAGAAATTCGAGCAATATTTCAAACTTCCACACATTTATTCTTGCAAAAGTGTTGATAATATCCATAGGCGATTGCGTCGAATCGTCGTCGCGTTAACATACCGAATAACATAAGTGTTTTTATTTTTAGAAATGATGCATGCAAAACATGTTTAAAATTGTACTAAGCAACACTTAGAAACGTATGCAAATATTTCTTTTTAACCGTGTGTTACATCTTTGTCACATTATTTGTTAATTCAGCTTTTTAATTATATTTTTAAATTGCTCGTGCTCTAATCTTCTGCTATATGAGGTTGCCTATCCCTGCCTATTGTTCTAATGAAGACGCCTATTGATTTTCCCAACTCATAATTGAATCAGGTCAATACAATATTGAACTTTGCCCGTTATCTAAATGTAATGTTATAAGAACTTCATACACTTTATGTAGGATTATTGAAATCCATCTCTGGTTTTATGAAAAGCTCTTATTGGTGTGCATTGATGTTGTTACATTTAAAAATATATATATATTTATTCCGAAAAGCAAAATTTTGAATATCACTTTAAGTAGAGTGAAAATTTTGAATATCACCTTAAGTAGAGTGAAAATTTTGAATATCCGTTTAAGTAGAGTGAAAATTTTAAATATCACTTTAAATAAATGAAATTTCTTAATATTACTTTAAATACATTGGATTTTTTTAATACTTTAAGTAAAGTGAGTTTTATAATGGAACAAAAATAAAACGATTGAATTATAACCCTACCACAAAACTTAAATATTTTCAGTTTTATTGGTTACGAGTCATATTATTATATTATTCAATTAAAGTTTTACCGAAATTTAAATGCTAATTTAATCGTTCAATATCAAACTATCAATCCAACGTTTATTCAAACTAAATGTCCTGATATGAATTGGAAATCTGTTTTTGTGACTAGATTTTATTTTTCATTTTGTTACGTGTGCTAGTACGCTATTCTTTAATACTCTTGAGCTATTCAGTGCTCCTCTAACAATTTTTTTCGGAAACTTAAGAAGCAAAACTTTTTATTTCCTTATTTTATTTTTTAAGAAAATTAAATATTGCTACATAAAAAATGCTTTTTTATTTATTTGTTTATTTTATGTATTTATTTATTTTTTATTACGTATTTATTTTATGCATTTTTTAAGTATCTTTTTATTAAGTTTTTCCTGCAAAAATTATCTTGTGGGAAAATCACAGTTGAACTTTAATTACATAAATTCACTGTTTTTGTATCAATACCTGTGAATGAAGCTCACTTGAAATGAATAATTCCAAAATAATGAAGTGAAAAAAATGCTTGATACTAAGAAATTCCATTAGCTTCAAAAATTAGAAAATGTTTTTAAAAATTCTTTAATTAATTTCTTTTTTTTTTAATTTTTGAAGATGATGAAATTTTTGCATTCTCAAATATATCTTTTCAGTTCAGTTTCTTGGAATTATTAACGACATGAAATCGTCACCTTAGCTTGGAATCACTTGGTAAATGCATCTTGTCTTGATTTGTCTTTCTTGGAAATTGTAGCATCCCTCGGCAACCACATTTTTCATGTTTTATTTTCAACCTTCATGTTATTTTCTATTTCTCAGTTTGCATTTATTTTTTTCAAATCTATTTTATTTTCCTTCTTCACATTTAGTAAATCTTCAAAATGGTCGTCTTTTTTCTTTTTTAGAAAAAGCTGATGCGTTGAGCTCACAAAACATATCAGTCTTATCCTTCGTACTAATTTTTGAAGCTTTTAAAATTTTTCCATTAGCTTTGTGTCAACTAAACTACAGGATTTCCATCAGAACCAAACATATAATTATGTTTTAAATATTATTCTTCGCTAATTTATGCATGAAATATAGATATTTTATGACGAAAGCTAACATGCCTGAAACTAAAAAATATTCTTAAATTATCCTATCTCAAGAAAAATACTAAAAACATTTGCATGAATTCAATTTCCTGATTACAATATATATATATCTATATATATATAGTAAAAATGCTTAAAGAAAACGTAATGATTTGATTGTTAAGATGAGATTGTTTAAATGAACCGCCCCTACGAGAAATGAAACCTTAAGGATTTGAAATTTTACAAAAGTGAATAATTTTTTCCAAAACATTCCACCTGATAGTGTTTCATTTCTTTTCGAATAAATAAACTTTCACTCTACTTGAATTATTAACTTAAACATAAAGTTTATATCTTGGTGGAAATAAATATAACTGAGATAGATGTATGATGTAACAATGTTGCTTTTATAAACTATAAAACGAAATGCTTTTAATGTTATTAAAGTTCCTCACATTATTGTACCTCAATTACTGCTTTTTTCTATCTATTACAAATTATTCAAACTGTACAATTTTTTTTAATCCTTCTACTAGTTAGTTTTAATTTCTACAATTTCCTTCATTTATAGTCGTGAGGATATTTTATAATATGTTTCAATCAAAGCTGAAATATTATTCAAATATTTATTTTCATATTATATTTTGTTTTATTTTCATACCTATTCATATCTATATTTATATTTGTTTGCTTTCATATCTATATTTGTTTATGTTTTCTTATCTATTGTTTTAATATTTGCTATTTTAATGACTGTTATTTTAATATCTGCTTTTTAATATCTGTTACTTTAATATTTGTTTATACTATTTTCCTTAATTTAGATTTAATACCAAGAATGTATAGCCAAAAATGCTCTTGAAAAATTTGTGAAAATTAAAACAATATTTTTTATAAGTTGATCATAGATAGATTTTGTTCATTATTATTTTTAAAAATTTAGAATTATCGTTATTTTAATACAAATAATAAAGATTTCAAAGTATGCAATGTTGCATCGTGTATCTTAAAGGACTGAACAAAATACATTGCATTATTTCATTTAAAAATATATCTGGATGAAGGTGCTTTCAAATATTATGACATTTCACTGATTCTGGGGCATCAAAAGGAAACAGTTACATATTGTATAATACTTTTCATATTTAAGATTTTATATTTTTGAATCAAATTAATTCATTAAAATCTGTGTCAATCGCATATGACCAGTTGAAGCAAAATAGATCAAAAGTTATCTTTTTGAAAAATTACCTTTTAATTTTTTGAACGATGAAAGATGCTTATAATAATTTTTTAAAAGATCTTACAAAAATAAGCGTTTTTTAAATAAGCGTTTTATCTTCATCTATACATTTCTATCGCCTCATTTTTTGTTATAAATTGTTCTCTTATAAAATGATTACTTTATCCCTTTCATTATAGTTCATTATTTATTTATTTCATTATCAATTTCGAGGAAAAATCTTACGAACTCAAAAGTAGTTCCCTAATTTTAGACATAATTCATCCCAAAGCGCATAAAAGACAGTCCGAAAACATAGAAAAGACATAACCCTAATAATACAGATTAACCCTATAAAAACAGAAAAGATGTTGTGACTTCCAAAAATATAGGTAACAACATACGTAAGACACAGAAAATATATAGTTTCGCCAGGAAACACAAATAATCAAATGTAGAAACACTTGATCGAGGGAAGTTTAATTTTTGAGAGAGATATTCTTGTAAAATTGTGAGTAGTATTACATTCTCTTTATATGAACCTATATTATTATTATATTTTTTATTGAGTAAGTTTTATTTAATCTATTATTCACTAAACTATTTCTAGTAATTTTTTATTACATTTAATTTTTGATTCAGTTATTGAAACTGAATTTTGATATCTATGAAATCTTTTAAAAATCCTAATTAATTAATCTTACCTCTGATATTTATTTGCTTTATATTGTAAGTAATACAATATTTATTATCTCCATTAAATAATTATAAAATTATATCTAAGAGATGTAATCACATTATAAAAATTGTAGTACCACGATTTCTTGCGATGTCTGGTACTAAAATAAATTTAAATTCTAATTAGCATTATTTAAATAATTTACAAAGATTTATTAAAGATATTTTTACAAAGATTTATTAATACTCAATAATCTAAATTTTTTACAGCTGCATCAAATTAATAAGCAATTATTGGTATTTGTTTTCTCAGAAATAAATGCTTAAGTAATAAAGGAACAAATTAATGTTTATAAGTAACCACAATTTGGATCCACAATAAATTTGATTTGGGCAAAATATGAAATAGTTACATAAATTTATTTTTGTCATCTTTCACATTTACAACATCTCAATTCTGGAGACCACTATTTGTGATATTAACAAAACATATCAATATTTCTATTTTTTTGTCATCTCGTTCTTTTATGCTTTTATTATCATTTCTATTGAAACTTTAACATTTCAATAGTAGCTAAATTTAACATTTCGATAAGTATATTTTACGAAATAAAAATACAATGCAATTTGAATAATTTTTAACAAAACTTTCAGATTTAAGGGACTAATATTAAAATTTAGTAATTTGTGAAAATCATCTAAAAGGAAATCCTTGGAACCATAACCAAATTTAAAATATCTCCTGCACTAATATATTATTACATTTTAAGTGAGATACCCAAGCTCTAAAGATTACATCTTAATAAAAAAACATTTTAATCAATAAGCCAAAAGTTACTCAGTGTTTAAAATTTTTATCTTGCATTCTGTACCATATTAAAATCCATATTGATGTTAATTGAGCAATCAATATATAGTGAATATTCTTATTCATCAAGGCTGATTACAACATTGAACTTGAAAGTCATTTATTTCTTAAAAGGTTTATTCTACAAATTGAAGTTTCTTTAAAAAAAATTTGAATCTAGACTCATATACAAACAAGTGAAACGTGAACTAAAAAGCACACAAATTAATTTTTGCAAAGACAAAAAAAAAACCACATTTTTAACCTTTTACTTACGGCGGGTACAACTGATTGTCCAGAATATTAGGAGCTATCAGCCGCCGTAGGCAAAAGGTTAATAAATGCATAATTATTCAGTGTTACTAAACAAGTATTACTAAACAAGTTTTAATCATTATAAATCCTTTACTATTCTTATAACTGTATATGACATTATATTTTACATATAGCCTATATTTTACAAATATTACTTACAAATACACGCCAAGCCAAAGTATTTTCGAATTTCCCAATTAAGATGCATATCATATACTTATTTTCCCGTCAGTTAGATTTCGAAACAAAAACTTACATTTTTATAAATCTATATTTTTGAAATAGAATTCCTAATTGTTTCCTTTTGATGCCGATTCATTTTTGCTGTTATGGCAGCTAATAAAAGATAATGTGTGTCCAAGTTCTTTTGCCATGAATCTGTAAATAGGATCGAAAGCATTGTTGTTATTACTTTTCTAGTCTACATGTAATTACATGTGAAATATATGTTTATTGAATTTGTTTTGAAAAAAAAATTGTCTATTATTAAAAAGCAAATCTATATGTAAAGATAATAAAAAAGATTTGTTCTAGTTGTAATGGGAGTCATTGTTTGTACAATTTTAATCACTGCATATTAATTTTTTATTTAATTTATCACAAAAGAAACAT